GTCTGATGGTGTTAAAGGTATCGTCGCAGGATGTAAGCTGTTCCAAGTAAAGCTGCCTTTTGCAATTGACTGATGGTGACTTTGTCAATACTGATGGTGTTCAAGTGGTGTGCCAGATGTTTTGCGATCGCACCTAAGGCACCTGTAAATATTGGTACTATCTTTGCTTTCTTTTGCCATAGTCATTCTACTTCCATTTGCAGATCTTTATATTTTGTGATTTATTATTATGATAAATATTCAGTTTGTTTTGTTCTGTTGCTATATTGCTGTAGATGGTTACTTTCACTGCTGTGTGTTACTCTTTTATGTTCAACAACTATACTTTGTGCTGAGACAAAATTATAGAAAGAAATGAAACAAAAAATATTGCAAGGCACAATGGTGCTCTTTAAAATAACCCTCACCTTCTCATTTGCACTTGGTACAGCAATGGGAGGGAAAAAGCGCAGTCATCTGAATGCATGGGGAAATCGGAGGCGTGGAACAATTAGAGATTAAAGGCTGTTGCACAATTAGTGTATGAAAATATTAAGGCGTGAGTTTTCCAGGCAATATTTTATATTCTGAGATAGAGAAATCCATGATTCCATGAAAGTTAGGTTATGATACATTCACCTGACAAATAATGAAGGATGAGTTTTTGAGAATTTACAAGTAATTAAGGTTAAAAAAAATAAAACAGAAAGGTTTTTTAGTATCAGTGAAGTAGAAGGGATTTATCATGCTAGATAAGCTGCAGTATGCATTAGAGTCCTCCTGATGTTTTTGTATAATCTCTAATGCCCCATCTTCATCTTACAGCCTTCTTGGTACCAACTGCTGCAATAATTTTTCAGGATGAGCTGAGCTTCTTTAAAATGAGGTATATTCCATTTTCAGATTTAAGGACCACCTGAGGGATTGGAATAGGAGTTTTTTCTGGGTCTGGCATTATTTCAAAGCGAAGCAGCGTCAGAGCAAGTGCTACTTTTAGTTCATTCATGGCAAATTGCTGTCCAATGCAATTCCTAAGGAGAAAGGAAGAGAAAAACACCTTATGTTGTACTCATTATAAAAGGAGGCCAGTTGGCATTCAGAACAAGCATTTTGTTTTGTTTTGTTTTTTGCTACTCAGTTACCTACCAATTAGTAAGCGTTGCAAATTAAGTACAGCATGTAATAAGAAGTGCAAACATTTATAGCTACCTTGAAAACTGGGCAGGTGAGGACAATGTATTAAGTCAATAAAATCAAGGTGTGAGTGCATGAAATATTTCACTTCTTCAGTGGAAGCATATAGTCTGCAGGGGTTTCATTTAAGTGAAGTAACAAGTGGGAAAGTGCCGTGAGAAATAATAATCAGGGACTGAGTATCATATTTGAATTATGCCCAGGTGTCAACCCTCGGCTGGGGTCTTCCATCTTGCACAGGTTTGTTAATACAGTTTTGGATGCTATAATACACAACCATAGGTGCAGGATCTGTCCTTCTAACTAGGAAAACATTTTCACATTTAATTTTTTTTAAAAAACTGTGTCAATTGCACAGCTTTTGGGGATTGTTATCTTGCTTATTTAACAGGCCTGCCTGTCATTCTTAGCTGTAACAATATTTCATAAGACTCTAAAAAGACAGCAAATAACAATGCTTGGGATAGGACACAGACTCATTTTTAAACCAGTGCTCTAAAAATAGATTGTAGGCTCACCTTGATCCAGCTGCAAAAGGAATAAATGCATGAGAATGCCTTTTGAAGTTCTCTGCTGAAAACCTCATAGGATCAAACTCCTGGAGTAAAAGAAGAACAATGAATTGCAGAAAAAGAAAAAAAATAACCTGCTATGTTTACAGAGAAGCTAAACAACCAAGGAAGCAAGGGCATTATTTGAAGTGTGGTGGGAAAGTTGATTTACACACACACACACACTTTTTCTAATTACTTGCGCTATTATAAAGCTATTGGAGCATCTCAGAATAACATTACTTTGCTCTGGAACTATAGTGAGTCAATACAATGTCCTGAAGATGATAAATGGGGATTACCTCCACTGTAGAGAAACTTCACATACAAAAGTCTTGATAAAGTGTAACACATTTTATTTACAATGGTTAAGCCCCTTTATCGCTGTCATCATCTGATTAAAAAAAAATACTCACAAAAGGATCTTGCCATATTCTGGAGTTTTTATGAAGAGAGTAAATGTGAACTGTAACTATAATACCTGTAAAATAAAGAACCAGAGAAACAGTGATTAAAACATGGTCAGTGGTTGAAACAAGATCAAAGGTTGAGAAGAATTTTGCAGCCACTTCTATCCAGCCAGAGAAGTTTGGCATTTACAAGGAAAGTGCTCATGGGCACTACTAAGCTAACTTTTCAGATTTTTATTAATTTATGGATCTGTTCAGAGCACCTGCAACAATGGACTTCCCTTGTGTTATGATACAGATATAATTCTGAACTCTTTGTTAAAAACAAAGAATAGCTTCAAGTGAATTCTAAATATTGACTATTGTGGACTACTTTGCACTTTACTACATAGTATGAATGAATTCAAATGTTGTTATCTGTATCTCCTAGAACGGGAAGGGAAAGATTGAAGGGAAGATTTCTCTTTAGGATGTGATGTCACCCAAACCAGAATGTGTCAAACATTTGATCATTATTACTATGATTTTACCATTTTCAACTGTATCATTTGTATTCAGAGCTTAGATGTCATCCAACACTGAGCAGCACAAAATGGAATAAAAGTAAGAATTTTGTTTTCAATAAAGAAACTGCAAACCTTCAGGCAAAGTGCGTCCATCAAAGAAAGTAATAGGTTTGCTGAGTTTTCGAGACACCGTTGGAACTGGAGAGTATATACGGAGACTCTCTTTTATGCACATTGTGGTATAAGTCATCTTACCAAGATCATCCCTGAAAGTTACAGAGCAAAACAATTAATCTTTCTGCCAGTTAACTGCTAGGTGCCAAAGCAGTGTATCATCTGGAACTAAATCAAGTAGTCTTTCAGATTTACTACTTATTTGCACTTAACACTGGCCCCAGTATAACCTGGCAACACTGTTTTTCTTCTGCCTGTGACACTGCTTTCATCTTATCCCCAGGACATGAATAAGACAAGCTTAACTTATCCTTAACTGCAATGCCCCCACATTCTGACACCATCCAAGGGCAACTTCAAGGTGCATAAAAGGTATTAGGTTTTGTCACCCATTACTTTGCTGGGAAGGTAAGTGCATGAAGTGGAAGCAGAGGCCAGCTAGCGACTGACAGTGGGGACAGTAGCTTTAGTTCTAGCATAGTTTTCTGCTGATTCAAGGATGATGCATAGTGGGGCTGACACTCACCACAGATAAACAAAACCAAACTTTATTTTAAAAGGGTAACTTAAAACTTTAAATATTTTAAGTTTAAAATATTAAAATGCAAATTTTCATAGTTGAAAAACATTACTGAGCTGTCCAGATCATGGAGAACAACCGTTTCCAAATGATTTAATGACAATATAATGCTCTGTATATACCACAAGATGGATTGATCGGGTCTGATACAAGTTTAAAAAAAAAAGTTAGCTGAAAAGAGATTGGGGTGGGATTCACATGATTACAAAAACATAATTAAAATGAATACATTTATGACTAGCCTGAAGAGGGGGTAAAATTGCACACAATAAACTAGCTTATACAGTGAAATAAGAACATGGGAGAATGAGATATGAGTTAACATCAGGAAGGAAACCAATCTGAGGTAGATATTCCATCTACCTCAATTACCTAAGCTGTCTTGAAAATTCCCAAACTCACAGACTCTGAAGAATAATGTTAGTCTGCTTGCTGCTTTCTCCTTGCTGCTCCCAGCTTCTGACTTTGCTTTTAAAAGAAACAAACTTTTTTCTGTCTCCAGAAGAGGGAGAGAATAGGAGAAGTGTCTTTCGGTGTATTGAACAGAGTACACCTCTCCTCATGTGAATATGTATTCTGTGTCTGGCAAATAGGCCTTCAGTATTGTGAATGTCTGGCAAGGAGTCCACATTCACAATAGACTTTTTATTTCAAATAATCTAAGGCCAAGATTTTTATTTCTGCTACTTTGTATAATGAAATAAGAACCACTGGTTAAAGGAGTAATGAGAGAGAGTTCATTATTATAACCACACTTGTGGTTATTAGGAAGTAAGGTTTTAAGATGGGCCTAGCTGTTTAGTTTATAATTAAAAAGGACATTTGAAAGTAAAAATTCTAATGCTTGAACAATAACTTCAGCTTTTAGTTTTAAATTGCCAATTATTAATATGCTCGCCTGAAAGTACATCCCACTGAATTATAATCACATGGTTATGACTGTGTCATGCTTTGTGCTTAGACAACATATTGTATCTGATGGTTCTCATCTTTTCTATAGATCTTTCTTACAACATTCCGAAATAAATAATTTAGTGTATAAAATCAATATGAGAATCAAGCTGTTGCTTAATGTTTACGACAGAAATATGTAAAGCAGGCCTTTTATTCTCTGTTGCTGTTGCTTAATGTTTACGACAGAAATATGTAAAGTGGGCCTTTTATTCTCTTTCAAGAATAATAGTCTTCTGGTTAGCTTTTTTTCTTTCTTTCTTTCATTGAAAAATAGAACTGAAAGCTTTAATTGAGGATGGACAAGTGGGTGGACAATTTTCCTCCCTACAACCCCCACCTCCAGCTACTCTTCCACCTGTAGGTTTAAAGAAACATGACAGGAAGAAGTCTCTCTTGCAGTAGACATACAGCAAGAAGTTGCTGTAGTGTGATGGAATGGAATGGAATGATGAAGGCCAGGCTCAGGGAGATAAGCATTTTCTTAGCTCCCCAGAAGAGCGTGGGAGGAACAAGAGGATGAGACTGGCACCTCCCTGAGGAATTCATACTGTAGTGGCTGGGGGGCTTTGGGGACTGGGGGTTCAGTCTGGGAAGATTCTTGCTAGAGGTTGTAGCTAATAAACATAGCTGGGCTGAATTGGCATGGTCTCTTGGAGTTCCTTGGGCTAGGCCTGACATGTAGTGACCAGTATCTTCCCTAATCGCACAATGGAATGGAGATAACAGTGCCTCTTGTAGCATGTTGCCATAGATAAGGATACTACTAACTGACGGTGATGCCATAGGCACTCCTATGGAGCTAAACACAACAAAGGCAGCTATGGTGGTGGTTATCCTATCCTCTTGATTCAAAAAGCCAGAACATGGGTGATATCAAGTGAAAGGATTGAGCATCCCCTCTCACCAATTTGTCCTTCTGACAGCCTCCAAGTGTTCTGATCTTTGTTTGCTTAAACAACACTTTTTTGATCGGTATTATGTAGTGTTATACTTAAATCGAGTCACTAATGAAAGAAATCAAAAGCAAATAATACTGCATTTACCACTGAATGTCCTCCCGATCCCCCAGGATTTCCTTGATTTCTTCTCTGCATTTCTGCTGGTGTTCTGGATGCTTGGCCATGGCATATAGTATCCAAGAGAGAGCACTGGCTGTTGTGTCATGCCCTGCAAACATGAAAGTGTCCACTTCGGCACGAAGGTCTTCATCAGATAGTCCAGTTCCATTTTCATACTGATAAACAGAGAAGAGGTATCAGCAAGGGCCACCCTCAGTGAGCATTCATTTAAAGAAAAATAAAAAGATAAAGTCAAAATGAAATCAGACCAAAGACAAAAGTGTTAAAAAACTGAGTTTTTAAATGTATGATATTATTCAGACGCATGGGTACTATTGGGATTTATTCTACCACGGTTTGAACAAGTAAGATACACAGGGTTCTTCCTTTTGACTGAGTTAATAATGTACATTGCTCCAGTCTCTGGATTAGCAAAAGGCATGCTGACATAAACAGCTATATCCTCTTTGCCAACGTTTATTCTGCCTTAGTGATTAGGCAAGTGACTTATTCTGCCTGTACAGACTGAATGCAGGACAAGTGAAGGAAAGCAAGTGGGGATTCCTCTGGTTTTGTCTTCTCTCCCACCAAGTATCATCAGCTGCTGGGAAAAACATCCAACAATGGCTTTCCTTAACATACAACAAAGATAAGGATGGGGCAAAAGCAAATTTTGACAGATGTCTGGGCTATCAAGTTTAACCATCTGGGAAAAATTTCTCTGGCTCTACACAAGTCTTTTGCATGAGTGAATTCAAAGGCAGCTGATATCCCCTGATAGTCAGACTCCTTTCTGAAGGTGGCTTTAGCGCTGTTCTGAAATAATGCTTTCAATCAGCTTTAAAAGTAGCCTGAAAACAGGTAATTGATGCAAGGGGTGGTTGCAAAGTGAAATTTTTCTACTGCATCAAGCAACCATGATACTTGGTTATCTTTACTTGCAAACTAAGTTTTGGGACTACCAAAAAAAAAAAAAGGTGGAGTGAGTGCTGAGAAACATAAAGTCAAATAGAAAGAGAGGAAGAAAGAGGGACTGCTCTAAAATTAATTGCCTTTGAGTCTTCATTTTGCAACCTTTCCCCCTCCCCTCTCCAAATAAGGATACACAATGATATCACAAATACATCTGATTCATTTAACACTATTTTGCAAGGAATTGTGGGATTTCACCACCCTCTTCCTATCTTCTACCCTCCCTTCTGCAACTGTAAACAATGTAGGTTTTTGGTTTTTTTTAATAGTATACTAGAACTCTTCTTCAGAGACTCTGTTATTCCCAGCTAGGCCAACAAAGTGCCATAGATCACACCCTCAGCAAAATGCTGGGAGAAGGAAAACATTGCTTTAAACCTTAAACTGCCTCTTAAAAATGTTAAACTGCCTCTGCAATAACCTGGAGATAAGACTGAGGCAACAGTTGCATGAGCATGTCCTTTAAAAATGGTTGACATCTTCATGACAAGATGAGCAGGACATGAGAATGACTCCATAATCATTGGCCTTTACCCTGTTTAGCAACTTTTCAATGTTCCTCATTATAGGAACTGCGAATTATTTCTGTTTCCCATTGGCATGTCATATGGCTTGAATGGACATTATAAAAGGAAAAACGGGAAACTTTCCCTTTTATTTTGTCTAATAATAGAAGGACCAGAATTATCATATGGACTTTGCACCTCATAAGTGCTGCAGTAACAGATCTGGTGAAATTTTCTCTTCTGTACAACTTTTAAGGAGAATATCAAATCCTGAACTGGCAGCCCCATTAAAACATAACATTTATCTTATTTGTTCCACAATTTATTTGCACAAATGCTTTGAGACAGCAACTGTTTTATACAGAAAACACATATCTGCAGTATAAAAAGTGTAAGCTATGTTTTATATATATATATATATATA